TATGTGACATAAACAGGTCGTGGAGCTGTCTGACCAGATAAAAGTGAGAGTGTGAGCGTTTTCATCTCACTTGGCCAAAGCCAGCCAGCCCCAGCAAGCAGGGCCGGTTTTTTCCCACAAGGCTAACCAAGGCCCGGCCTCAGGGCAGCAGGGAGCAGAGGGGCAGCAGGGGTGTGGAATTCCTATCTCCCGACGTCCGGGATATGCAGTTCTGGGCGCCGGGTGGGTAGTTGTTTTCTACATTTAACTCTACTTTGGGTAAGCTGAGCTAAAAATACAGGGGATGTCACTGCCTGTTTTGTACAAGTGATCTCTGCGATGGTGCCTGGCCTTGGGGGAGCAGAGAGAGTAAATCCAACACTGCCAGCAAGCAAAGTGGTTGCATTGGACACTGAGGGTTTAGCGCTGCTGCATTTACCACAAAACTAAAATGATTCAGTGCCACTAAAGTAAGTCCATCATTTTAGAGGTTAAGGTTGAATATTAGGATAAGGTAAAAGTTTGGGGCTAGACTTTAGGGGTTAAGAATTAGCATACGATTTACATATTGATGTTACATTCCAACTCTTACTTTTTTTGTTTGCTTATGTTTTCAGTAGAGCTCCTTGCCAGAACGTCTGCCAAAATGTTATTCCTGTGCATGTTCTCACTGGAAAGATTTCCCCTCATATACTGTCCTGGTAACACCAGGATGAAAAATAGCAACGTGACAGATATTGTAACCCCCTCCCAATCTACAGAAATAAAATTGTGTTTGTTGCTGTCTCTATACCAATCAAAAATATTCAGTATCTTATGACTTCCTTTTCTTGGACAGAAAGTGAGGTAAATCTTCCCAGTGGGACATAGACAGCAATAAACACCTGATAAAGGTTGTACCCCTTTCCCCTTTGTACAAAAGGGTTTGATAAAGGGTTAGGTTAATATTTCAGGTTGCATTTTAAGTGAGGGTGAGGTTGCATTTTAAGGGTTAAATGTCAGGATTGATTTAAGGGTTAGGGTATGGTTGTGGTGAAGGGGTGTAGGTAAGTGTTAGCACCATCCTGAGGGCTCAGGACAAGCAGGGATTTTTTTTTCTTACATAAATTTGTTTTTCAGGCCAATACATGGGCAACTCCAGAAATGTTTTAAGGGTGTTTTGTGTTGGTACTGGGAGTATAGGTATGGGGTCTAAGGTGGTGCTAAAGAGATTGGGGGAGTAAAAAAAGGGCTTATTCTTTATTCTGACCACTCCCAAAAAGATCCATGGCTCGTATTGATAACTCTTAGCAAATGTCAGGGTCAGCAGTGATAACACAGGGCATGTATCAGGGCAAGCAATAACCAAGAACACATGAATAACCCTAACCAAACATTAGAACACTCCAGCACAATAATAATTCCCAGCACTGCCCAATAATAACCCCCAGAACTGGTGTCCAGTAGTGTTCTTAACAACCCCAGATCTTGTTTCTATGATCTTTTATTCCTGTTGCTAATGCAGCCAGTGGCAATATGACAAACAAACAACAATTGATTGAGCATTACATAAAAGTAAGGAACACGGATGTAATGCTCAGCACAGGCTCAGGGCATTGGTCAAGACTATGGGGACTATTCACAATGCTGCCAAAGGATCTAGCCGTAGCTTCGGCCGATCCTTCGCCTTGCTTCGGCCGATCCTTCGCCTTGCTTCGGCCCCTGGACCCAGTAGAACCGAAGGGGTGCTGTACGGGCTATGCACTATAGCCCGTACAGCTCCCGAACGTGGCCGAGCGGCTCAGTCGAAGGAGATTTTTTTTTTTTACGGCAGCAGAGCCGCCGGACATTAGAAAACTGTTGGGCGGAGCTAGCTGTCATTGCTGGCTCCGCACAATCGTTTTCTATTTACTTTTGTTTTTACTTTTCGAACTATTTTTCTGTTCTGCTCGGTCCCTCTGAGGGACCGAGCAGAACAGCTGAGGCTATTCACTCACTGCTGTTCGGCATCTATAAGAATAGGCCGAACAGCATACTCGGCTGCCCTCGGCAGCTTAGTGCATAGACCCGTATGTTACATACAACATAACATACAGAGAACAGTGGCCTGGATGATGTGAAATACTGTCAGGGACCCAGGGGGGCTGTTCCTTCTCAGATTCGCAGGCACGGGCATCGGGCACGGGTAGCTCCTCCTCCTCCCCCAGGGCATGTGGCACTGGCCCATTACTCCAGCCCTGACATATACACCACAGCAGGTAGAAAGCAGTGGTTGGGAGCAGAGCCCCAACAAGGATCACATAATACAGGAAGATATAACACTTTTCATGAGCCTACCTTAAAGTAAATCCAAAAATTAGAGTGAATGAATCTTCCTATCTGGGACACAGCAATACCAACAGGACAGTGGTTCCATTCTCTCATCACTCTAAACCAAAATAATTTTTTTTAGTAACACTTTAAAGCAGAACCGCATTAAAGTAATTTGTTGTTGGGGATCACTGGCAGACGTCAGTGGCAACTTAGCAAACACCAACGGTTGAGGCAATAACCACAAGTAAATGATGAGACATGCCACTGTGAGTAAACACAGGAAATACATGCAAGGTCCATGAATTCAGCACTTCAATTTGGTAATGAAAACTAGAGCGAGCACAAGGAGGTCTTATTGCTTTTAGTAACCAATTAGAATTTGATTTGTCTAGCTCAGCAAGACAATTTGTTGTAGCTCAGAACGGTGCATCCTGTTATGATTATACACAAAGTCTAAACATTCATTATACCATGTTAATAACTATAATCGGAGCATCGGCAGCAATGTTCTGCAATATATGCCATTAATCATCATAAATCTTAGGATCTGTTCATAAGAAAACATCCATCTGAGAATCAAATGTACAGCACGTCTAAACAGGATGGAGGCAAGAAGCATCAAGAATAACTCCTAATATTGAAAGCAAATCAGTGGGATTCCATAGAAATCAAAGGACAAACTATTTTTATATTTAAACATTTGGGTACCAGGCACCAACCGGCAATACAGCTTAAAGATGAGGTCCTTCACATACCCTTACAAAATTTCACTTAGGGCCTGAAACATCACTGTCTCTCCGCTGAGCATGAGTGTCACGTGCAGCATCCATCTGAATGATAAAAGTTCTTCACATTCTTTATTCCACCTTAACATTCCAAATGTTGAACTCTTTACACCTAACATCTAATTGTATGTCACCTATGGAGAGCTGCTACACAGCTCTTATTCTGCCAACACTTGCAACTGAGTCTCTAGGGCCACACTCCCCTCATCACAGTACTGTAAATAAAGCGTATGAGAATACCTAAGCCTTGCTATGAAAGAGGCTTTAGTGGAATTCACAAAGCATTGCAATCCAGGGAAAAGCTTATTGTGCTTGTCTAGTGCTAGTTAGTGATGTTTGGCTTGCCCAAAAGCTTCTCCTTGAATTGCAATGCTTTGTGAATTCCACTAACATTTCTTGTATGTGAAGGACCTCAGTTGTATGCTGTATTGCCAGTTTGTGCCTGAGCTAACACAAACATATGATTAGACATGCAATCAGCAATTTTATTTTCATTCAGGGATTTGTATTGGAAACAAATAATGAATGCCAAGCAAGCAACAGTAGTTGTAGAGCCAGGAGCCTGCCCTCATGTACCTACTCCACAACCTCATGTACCTCCTCCACAATCCAATAACTAGTAATATGCCTGGGTCAGGTCAGCAAAAGCCTCTTGCAAATTAATCATTCAGTTGATTCTTGCCCTAACATATGAAATACTTACCTGTAAGCAGTAACCTGAATTGGGTCTCTCGCTGGTGTCTGGCAGCCAGCTTCTCTTCAAATCCCATGCCAAAAGCCCTTTCTCTGCTTCCTCTTTGTGCCAGAATGCAACTCTAGCACCGCTCCTCTTCTAGAGTAGACAGGGCAATATTAGCAGGGGTCATAATTTTGTATATTATTTGCATGTTTTTCAGGCATTTTCAGGCTTGCACATTTTTTATTTAGCCAATGGAACACTAGTTACTAGGAGACCATTGTAAGTTACAAAACTGTGTGAAACAAACACGTTGGGTACATTTTCAAGGTATTTTTCAGGTGCTTCTAATAAAATGTATTGGTAGAAAAATAGCCATTTCTTCCTGAAAAAAAGTTATTTTTCGAGTGACAGCTATCAAGCAACACAATGCTCAGATGTGAATGAGCACCATCAAAAACAATGGGATTATTCTTGTTGAAACTTGTCATGCTTGGGGAAATGCAAGACATAACACTCGGGAGTAAATGGGGCCTGAGAGAGTCTTATCAGCCAGAACTATAAACAAAGTATTGGGAGCCACGTGACAACGCTGTAGACCACAACACAAAGTCCCTTTTCCCATTGCTTTGCAATAAAGCATTAAAGGTGAAATTCTGACATCACTGAATGTTCCATCCAGTCTGGAAGCACCCATCTAGCACAGCCACTGCTCCTATTAACCCCCCACTTTATACTACCAGTGCTGGTCTCTAAGCACCGAAACCTAATGTTCCAGCTTAGCTTGTGTAAATTATGATCAAATTCTATTCTGGGATCTATCTAAAATGTCTGTTTTAGATAGATGCACTGTTTCAGCAGAGCGATCATTTTCACTGCTTATTAAATAAAAAGTTAAAGGTTCCTGCACACAGGTAAGCTTATTTAAATATATATATATAGATCTATATATATATATTGTGTTGCAGCTGTTTGTCATTCGGTAGATGGTTTTGAAAAAATAGCATAAAAGCAATAAAAATAAAAAAAGCAATGTTCACTGTGGACCCCAGAGATATGTCAGTAGTTTCTAAGAAGCTCCTGTTCCTGACACCTTCGTATACAGAACAGCAAGTGTAAATTGCCTGGCTGCATGTGCAATACAAAAAAATTGGATTTTTGTCAGTGCCCTCTTGTGTTTGTTACACTGAACTGCAAATTTTGTGGCTCTCTCTGTACTGTCTAAAAAAACTGCAGATTTATAACACATATCTTTTGTATTTCTCCAGGGATGCATATCACAACATAGCTGCACTGGATCCGGAGAAATTAAATATCTTCCGCACTGTTAGAGAGATCACAGGTACACAGCTTCTGTTTTGGAATCAAATATCATTGAATTGGTCTGCCTGTAAAACATGTTAAGTAAATAAAATGTAATATATTGTGTCATAAGTTATAGAAAATGCTAAAGAAAATGTAGAATCTATTTTTCTGTATAAGAAAATTTTTTTTTGAAACAGTAGCAAATTACAAAACCTGTAAAGTCTCTAACATGTTTAGGTGCTGCTGAGTGGAACATGTTATAAGAAATGCTCAGTAATTGGCCATTGTTCTATTTTTTTCTAAGTTTTGAGTAGAGCAGGTGGTCCCGGTGGGGAGATTTACCCTATCTATTTGTATTGGTGGCCATTGTCACTGAGACAGAAAATGATAGAAAATGAAAAATGTTTAGCAAAAAAGAACGGGGAAGGGAAGGTATATGCACAATATCTCTAATATAAATTAGATATAAATGGGGGTCCCCTAACTATTCAAAGTTATTTAGAAAAAGAAGTTTTCCCCAGGGAGAGGGGATCCCACCATTCTTTACAAAAACTACATACCAATTTAAATGGTGAAAAAGGTATAAATCATTTATTCATTAAAAATCCATATCTCTAAGACTCTACGTACACAAAAATCAGAAACATACATTAATCAAACAATTAGATAAATATATACACATAACAAACAGATAAATATATATACACGAAAATATATGACTGCAAACCGCCCATAAACTCATGAGTAGATGAGTGGGTTAATGAAAGAAATTTTCTTGACAATTAGGAGACATGCCGCTTAAAAAGCCAGATGTATTCGTATATTTTTGGTATAAAGACAAAAACAAAACGCTGTCCATAAGGTAAATTCCGATATATGCTGGGTTTCACGATAGTTGCCTTTGTGTGAACTAAAGGACACAAAAAGTATCGGAGTTGTAGCCACGGAGAAAGCGTATCATGTGGACATGTGGACACAGCACCCCTGAGAATCAAGGGGGTGGGATGAAACTGGATTTGACAGTGTAAACAGTACGAAGATATCTGTCTACGTGCATAAGATACTTACACATATATCTAAATAAAATCAATATTGAAACACTGGAGAATTGTACTTTACCCTGTTAACGTGTAATGGTCTTATGGACAGCGTTTTGTTTTTGTCTTTATACCAAAAATATACGAATACATCTGGCTTTTTAAGCGGCATGTCTCCTAATTGTCAAGAAAATTTCTTTCATTAACCCACTCATCTACTCATGAGTTTATGGGCGGTTTGCAGTCATATATTTTCGTGTATATATATTTATCTGTTTGTTGTGTGTATATATTTATCTAATTGTTTGATTAATGTATGTTTCTGATTTTTGTGTACGTAGAGTCTTAGAGATATGGATTTTTAATGAATAAATGATTTATACCTTTTTCACCATTTAAATTGGTATGTAGTTTTTGTAAAGAATGGTGGGATCCCCTCTCCCTGGGGAAAACTTCTTTTTCTAAATAACAGAAAATGAAAAATGTTAGATTTGTCTTTGGAACAAGACGTGAGAATATATCTTCCAGTGACAAGTGTCTAATAGTGGAATTCTGCTTGCTTTTTAGAGATTTCCTCTAACGTTCTCCTAGAAAGGAAGTGAGGAAAAAGTGTCCCAACTGGACAAAGATAGCATAGTATAAACTAATGGGGGTTTTAACTCCTTCCTACCATAGTCCATGAACAAAAGGTTTTGGCTATATATGCACTTTACACTACTGAACACACTTTAAAGCATAAGTAAAGTGACGAACTGGAAAACAAAAAAACCCTGGAGCTTTTAGCCATAATGAACTAATATGCACTGTATAATAGCACATTATGGCAGACTTACCTGCCAAAACGATCACCTCCAGGGATGCGCTCCTCCCTTGCCGGTACTTCCTTGTTTCTCCCTGTTTTTTCCTGGGCTCCGAGTCTCCAGCCTCTTGATTGGCCAGGCCCTGATGACGTAGCTTCGACACATGTGCACATGAATTACTTCATCTCATCATGCATAGCCTGTGCACTGAGTTGCACATATTGGGCTTAGGGTACAGGAAAAAGCTCAGTCAGCAAGAAGCTTTCATGGCAGAAGATACCTTTACAGTCTCTTCATAAAAATGCCTGCTTATCACCATTTAAAAAAAACTTAAATTCCACTTTAAGCCATATAGGCACAGGCTTGGCATGATTTAGGAGGTAGGACTGTGACACATAACTTCATGTACAAAAAATAAGTCATTCATCTATATAGCATGAGACACCTAGAATTGGTTGCTAATAATCAACAAAAGGTATTACAAGCTTACATTGGCCAATATACCTGCTTAAAAACATATTTTTGTGAAGTTTACCCTAAAAGTGTATCTAAAACCAAAGTTTTACTTTTAGTTTTGGATTGAGTAGGGGTGAGTTAACAAGAGTAAAGGGACCTTTCCTCCTAGACCGTTGTCAGTAGAACAGTTATCCCCATTGGAAAATCTTACTTCACCTCTTGTTCCAGTGACAACTGTAAACATTTGGATTTTCCATCACGTTCTACTCTGGTGACAGTGGTCACCAGGACAAAGAAAGAGGGAAAATATACCAAGTGTAGTGCTCACCCCCTAAGGAGCAGCTGGAATACCCTGGGTCATCACTACTTGTCTAGGCAATTTTGGTCTTTAGCTGCCCCATTAGCATTTAATCGCCCTCTTCAAGTGCTCACAAAGCTGATGCCCACTCCAGTAATGCAATGCTGAATAACTTTTATTAACTACTTCATACTGGTGAGATAGGGTATAGGGATCCTAGACATCCAGGGTGTAACAGACATAGACTCCAGACTCACCAGACCTTTTTAGCAGGGGTGGTACAGTGAATAGTAATTGAAGTAACAGATGAGGAGAGACACCAACCATGCTCCTGAGGTCCTCTAAATTATGAGTACCTTCAGTAGTAATCCATTTTCCTGGTTCTCCTCCTCTAGCAACAGTACAGATCTCCCTGTATAATTGAGTCCCACAATCCAGCCTCTGCCCGCCCCCTCAGGCACTAGTCAAACTAGACTGAGCACATGGCAATTCCCTCCAGTATATGTACTCTATCCCAGCATCCAACACTGGTTGAGAGAACTCCAGTGATTGACTGCTGTACTGTACATACACTCACAGTGCCTCTTATTGGCTGTCCCACAATACAGCAGAATCACACTCCACCCAGGGGGATACTGTCGATGCCAGACACCTGGAATTAACCAGATAAATGCCAACTGTAATCCAGCCAGGCTGACTACAGCCCTGGCAATCACTACATTTCTAGTAGCCACCACACAAAAGGTGACGGGGCTACACAAGTAAAGACAAAGACAGCAATAATAACTCAACAAGGATCCTAACCCTTTCCCACTCTAACTGAAAGTAAACAGAAAAAAATATATTGATATGAATTGAAATTAAAATTGATATTTAAGTACTGTAAGGTTGAAATGTTTTAAAAGTAAATGCAATGATCTTCTAAGGGTTTGTTCTTTAATCCCTACAGGTTATCTTAACATACAGTCCTGGCCAAAGAATATGACAGATCTCAGTGTCTTTTCCAATTTGGTGAGCATCGGAGGTCGGGATTTATACAGGTAAGAAAAAATGGATAAAGTTGTAATTAAAGCAAACCTGTTAGAGTGGTGTTCCTGGATTCTATGGCAAGCAGTGGTAGCATGCTTCTTCAGTATATTTCCAAAAGTACCCAGGGAGTCCCAAAACCTGGAAAGTTCTTGCTTACTTCCTCCCATCTCCAACACCTCCCCATTGGCCAGTGAAGCTGCTATTTAGTGACCAATAGCGAGGTGCAGATGATGGGAAGCAGTGTAATATCACTCAACCTCCTGTATAATAGGGGGATCTGAATTTTAGAGCACTTCGAGCACTTTTTAAATAGACTTAAGCTTACATGGTAGATTATGGAGTCTGAACTAAACTTGCACATGAATACCTTAAAACCATAATAGATTTACATTATTTCCAGAAAATTCCACATCCTTTTGAACAATTTATAAAATGATAGTTGAATGGCTAAAAAATGGTACATTGACATTACTGGAATATTTTATTGCACTTAAGTACTGGCTGTTTTTTTTTTTTAGTTTCCTAAGGCAGAGGGTTATTTATATTGACATTATGACCTGATCTTACAAAAAGGTTCAAAAGATAGAGACTATCCACAAAAGGAAACAATTCAGATTGTTCAGAGCATAAAAGTCAGCTCTATTACAATGCTGCTGGTTTCTTATGTAACCATCCTTCCATCTGTGGAATGTTAAGTAAAAAAAAAAAAAAAAGCAGAAGGTATACAAATCTGTGCAGATGTAATACAAATGTGAATGTCTATCGAAAGCCAGGAACAGCCGTATTTGTTACAATTCATGTACTGGAATTAATTTTTAATGAGCATTATGTGATCTTGGTCTGAAACAGACAGATCAGTTTTTTTGGTGCTTAAAAGGAGGAATCAGCTGGTCTTCCTAGGCTGCTTGGTTTTGATGTAACTTCTATCAGTTAAGGTGAGTATACTGCAGAAGATAATTATTTCAGTGCTAGGGATTATTTTACAGCCTAAATTATATGTCCAGCCAAAACTTTTTTCTTAGTTTTAAAAAAATGGGGAAGGCTAAAACCTATTTTAGATTTGAACTCTTGTCTGTGTCCATGTTACGGATCTTGCTTTACTTCCTGCCTGGTGAAACAATTGTCAACCGGACAAGAAGTGAGGGATAATCTCTATAATTACTCACAGGGCGTAGTTTGAATGGATCTGCCAGTCATTCTAACTAGAAGTTAAGCAGTGGTGCATTGTTGTATCAGGTTAGGATAGTAGGTTGGGATATTGGAACAGCGCTGGTAATTGCATAAGGAGGGCTGCTAGATGTTTATTTAAGCTGCAGGGAAATGGTTTTAGCATTTCGTGCATAAACTGGAGTTGATCTTTAAGTGTACAGGTAGGCAAGGCTTACGTATTAGAGAGATGATTTAGTGTAAGGTATTCTGGCTCCAACTATTGTGTTAGTCATTTATCCCTGGCTGAGACCTATATGTCTGGTGTGTATTAGCAGATACAGTCAACGCGGATAGTCTTTATCAGATAGCTATCAGATAGATCAGGTTACAGCAAACAACAGGATGTAGCAGATGATTAGAAAGAAGGTATTTGCAGGTCAGCAACCTCCGTAGGTACCAATACCCAAAGCAGCCTTTACAAATCTTCAGTAATGTATGTTCCATCCCGGTAGGCCATTTGCGCCCCCCCCCCTCCCCCCACTGAAGTCTTCTACAAAAAACGTCTAATATTCTCCATAGCTCCATCCTGTTCAGTTTCCAAGATGAGCCTGGCATTGGACATTTCCCCCAGCATCACAGAAATGAGCACTGTTCTTATTCAGAGCCCTGTGCTCAGCTGTGGTGACAGGAGAGAGAGTGCACTGTGCACACTCACTCCTGTGATGCTGGGGGCAAGCATCCAATGGCTGACCTATCCTGGGAACAGGACAGGACAGAGCTATAAAGAATATTGGGAGTTTTTGTGGCAGTCTTCAATGAGGGCACAAATGGCCTACAGGTAGGAAGGATACACTACTGAAGATTTTTAACAGCTTCTTAGTTTGTTGTTACCTGCCAGGGCTTCTTGACTGCATAGGCTATTTTTTAAAAAGGTAAACTTACCCTTTAATTCTGTTTATTGCTCGGAAAGTTATTTTTTTAGTAGAGCGTAGTGTAATGTTTGTATACCAAGAAATTGTCATTTCTGCAGTTGGAAATTAAAGGAATGTGAATAATTGCTATGGACAACAAGAAATGTTCTTGTTAGCACACTTTTTATCCATCATCTGCAGGAAATATCCTGTATTGTGATCACAGAGAGCTCTTTAGACTTCCGTAGCGAGTGCTCTGATGCAGCATTAACTTTTCTTTTCAATCCCACAAGACTCTGCAATTACTGTATTAGAGTTTGCTGTGTTCCTCAGCATAGACAGAAGAAAGCAGGTGCGTACACAGAGGTTATGCCATAGTGTATACCAGTGCTGACAATAATTACGTGTCTCTGCAGGGCTGAGGCTGAGACGGAAGGGCAGGGGGCACATTTAATGATGGCCTTGGCTGAGAAGTTATAAAACACTGCATCCTCAGCAGCCAACGAGCCGGCAGACTCTTACACAATATTCTGCCTGTCTTTAGTAGTGATGGCAAAAGCATTTTTGATTTAAAGCACCCGTGGGGTAGCACTCTCTGAAATAGCAGGTGTCCCCTTTAGCAGTTTAAGCTTTGCAGTATAATAGAGGGAAGTAAACAGATCTAAACTGAACCCAGGCTGTGAGCATCGACCTGTCCTATTAAATAAACTGTGGCAATGGTAACATATCAGGCATTGGGCCGACTCCTCTTATTAGAAGCAGCCACATCTCACGGCTTTTAGAAACTAAAATCTGAAGTAAAGCAACTACAGGGAACTTGCTCAGCCATATCTATGGCTATTTAAAATAAGGAAGAGCAGGCAGAGAAACCACAGGGATGGACATACTGCATTTGCAGCTTTAATACTGTCCAGGGCTGTGAAAGAAGAAAAGGGTTCCTAGGGAAGAGACATAGGCACTCATCAGTCCCAGATCACCAATGCAAACCTAAGAATGAAAATGTCAATCTGCTAATAGGATCATTCCGTAAGCTATACTGATGTAACATGTGCAGATAAATGGGAACTAAAAAAATTCAGCAGTGGTGTAAAACCTGTAACTTTAAAGGGGACTCTAGTAAAACCCTTGCTTTGCAACTCTGAATAGAGCATGCAATGTTTGAACCACTAACAGGTTTTTATTACTGTCTGTACCCAAGTTGGGGAGATTTCCCCAGTCATCACATATGGTAGTGAGGGGAATCTCCCCAACTGCCAAGAGTAAAAACCTGAAAAGCGCTGTAATGTCTTGGAGAGGGAAGGTTGTCATTCTGAACCAATCATGAAAATGAAAATGAAAGAATACTTGCTCTCTGTCATTTCAGGTAATGCACACAGTTTCTGTGAGACATTCTACATACCTTCGACTTGTGTTCCATTTGCAGGGACCGTTCATCTTTTGGAACCAAACCCTCTGCCTGTATTTTCCCTTTAGCTGTTCCTCTTTTTGGTCTGATGTATAGAGCTCTATAAAAAAAAATGTTCTATTTAACTTTTAACTCATGTAATCTTAATTATTCAATTTGTTAATTTAAAAAGCCAGTAGAAGGGAAATGTAGAGGTGAAAAACAAGTTCTTACCAGTTTAACCAATGGTTTTGGTTGGCATAACTGGGGGGTGTCTACATACTTTTAGTAGCCATACCTAATTTTACCCATATTTATGCTTTTGATTCTGGCATTAAAATAATCCATGGGTTTAGTGGCACTTTAAATGCCTAATCCACCCTACACAAAGTTTTTTTTGTACTAAACAATCCTAGGCCTTATTTACACTATTTGTAGAACCACCATATGCCTGAGACAGTACTTTGTAATAGCTTAACAGTGATGTTGACAATACATGTTGTAAAGACTCCAGTACATTATCAGCATATATTAAAAAATCCTTCTTTAACCAATAGTTTTGGGGCAGGATATACATTAGGTGTATGATTTGGTTAAATATCACACCTGCTGTAGGTCTTATTAATAAGCACCTATCATTAAAACAGCTATTACGCAGCAGGAGGTAAGCTCAGGACGGTGCCTAAGGCTTTTCTTTGTCTTCTTTCCATTCTTTGTCTGTGTATCGTTTCTGCTCCAAACTATTATTACTGTTTTAAATTACTTGTAGTTAATCACAATTATAGTCTACACTGCAGAGTTATATACTTAAACAATTCTGGGTTCACAGTTTATGTTATGTTTAATGCAAATGTGCTGTTATCATTGATTTTGGCAGACCAGTGCATTGGCATTTGACTAAAAATACTTTCCTTAGTATTTTGGCAATCCTTTACTGCCAGATTGGCTAATGGGTGGCTAAGCTGCATGAGCTTTTTTTTTTCAGGTTATATATTTAAAATGTTCAGCAGGATAGGCAAAGTCATTTTTCAGTTTTAAATAGTCAGGGTTTTTATATCCTCTTTTAGTGCTTCTGCACATGGGCATCTGGGGACATACAATGTACAATTTGGGTATATTTTCTCACCCAGAAGCCACATGTGCTGTGTACCATTGAAATCAATAGCTGTATGCTGCTTTATGTGGGTATATGCCGGTAGTTGCATAAGCGCGCATGCATATGGACCTCTAAACCTGAACGCGAACTGTCTCTATGTTGTTCATCTGTGTTTCTTCAAGTGCACCTTATACTGGCATACAGCTGCATACAGCCTGTCAGGGACCTGAGCTTCCAGGTGGCACTGTGGAGCTGGAACCTGATCCTGCAGTTACAGTGTTAACTTGCAGGTGTCCCCCAGCAATTAGTCACCACCTGGTGCTGATCTGGGAGGGTATTTAACCTCTCCCTGCAGTGAGGCCTGTGCCTCAGTATTGTCACCATATCATGTTTCCATAGCCTGTATCCTGCATCCTGCTTCCTTAGCCTGTATCCTGTTCCTGCCTTGCACCCTGACTTGGACCTGTCTCC